CCCCCCCCCCGCGCCCCTCACACCTACTTCATGGCGGCGCCGCCGCGCACTGCGCATGCGCGCTGCGCTCCGTTCACACACACACCCCCCCCACCGACCCGAGCCGAGCCGATTGTAGCCGAGTTGACCCGAGCGTAGCTGAACCCAGCCGAGAGTAGCCGAGCTGGGATGGACGGAACCAGAGCGAGCGCGGCCGAAACAGCCCGATTGTAGCCGAGTCGGCCCGAGCGCGGCCGAACCTAGACGAGAGTGTCCGAGCTGTGACGGACCGAACCGGGCCGAGTGTAGCCGAGTCGACCCAGGCGCAGTCGAATTTAGACGAGAGTAGCCGAGCTGCGACAGACCGAGTCGACCCGAGCGCAGGCAAACCGTACGAGCGGGGCCGAACGGGGCCGATCGGCGCAAAGCACCACCCAGAGCTGACTGGAGGCAGAGACTTTATTGGGGTGACCGGGACAGGGGCGGCGGGAGCCGGGGGGTCTCCGGGGCTGCCCCGCTCAGCACGGGCAGGAGGTTTTACCGCTGGCGTCGGGCGTTGGGTCCAGCCTGCGGGCCTGGCCCGGCCGCCCCTCCAGGTCCCGGCAGAGCAGCGAGCGCTGGGCCTTGAGGCGGCAGGCCAGGCACATGAAAATGGCGTCCACGTTCTGGCTCTCCTGAGGGTCCTTGGCCGAGGTCTCAAACAAAAGCATGTTGTGAGCGTCGGCGAACTTGAGGGCCATGCTGGATGGCACCTGGATCAGGTCTTTCAAGTCACACTTGTTGCCAACGAGCACCCTGGGGACAAGGGGGGGCACGGCGTGCCCGTTGCACTCCTCGATCCACATCTTGAGGTTGGTGAAGGAGGCCATCTTCGTCACGTCGTACACGAAGACGACGGCGTGCACGTTGCGGTAGTAATGCTCGACCATGCTCTTCCGAAACCTCTCCTGGCCAGCTGTGTCCCACACCTGCACCTGGGGAGCGAAGCAGAGGACACAGAAGGCTGCAGGAGCGCGGAGCCTCTGGCCGGGCAGGGCCTGCTGCTCCAGGAGCCGGCTCCTTGCCAAGCTCCCCGCAGGGAGACACGGGAGGACTCGCTGCCGAGGGAGGACTCGCTGCCGGTCCCTCTGCGACAGCGGGGCCACAGCCCCGAGGCAGCCAGGGGCCATCTCTTATTAGAGGAACTAGGATCGATGGAGGAGTCACACAAGCTTTTGGGGCAGCGCACACCCTTGTGTAATTCAACCGAGCGAGCCCAGCGGGGCTGGTAAGAGAGCTCTCGTCAGCACTTTCATTCACTATTCGCAGGCTCTGCACAGCGTATCCCGTTTCTCAGCCGCTGCAGCTGATCCCGTTTATCCAAGAGAACTGGCAGCACACTTTTCAGGGGGAAAAGTCCCTGCCTGATGCCTTACCTGACTCTGTGAGCCCTCACTGGGCTGTTCCCTGCTGCTCGCCCGCTTCCCCACGGAGCTGCCATCTCCACCACAGAAACCAACCGCGCAAAGCGCTGCTCATCTGTCTCACAGACATTCTCACACCGCATCAGGCCACTTGTCCACCCAATCCTACGCCAGGAAAGAGAACCCCGACACGTGCACAGTGGTAGGCAGAGAGGGGTCAGGACAAGGAGAAGATGAAGAGGGGGAGCCACCCTTTGTGTGGGGGAGCAGCGGGAGGACACGGAGCTCTGGGGAGGGGGAGGAGCCGACTGAGAGCTTGTGGGTGAGGACTGAAGAGCAGAGCAGAAGGGGTGACAGTGTAGGGAGTATCTTCTATAGGCCACTGACCAGGAAGAACAAGCAGATGAGGTGCTCTGCAGATAGGAGCAGCTTCACGTTTGCAGGCCGTGGTCCTCATGGAGGACTTTGGCCACCCCAAGAGCTGCTGAAGGACACACAGCAGGACACAAGCCATCCAGGAGGTTCCTGGAGAATTTTGATGAAAACTTCCTGACCCAAGTTGACAGAGGAGCCAACAAGCTCCTGGGCTGGATGAGCAGCCAGTGAGGTGGGCTGGGAACTGGCTGGGCTAGAAGGTGGTGATCAGTGGGTCAAAGTCTAGTTGGACGCTGGCAACCAGCAGTGCACCCCAGGGGTCAATACTGGGCCCAGTCCTGTTCCACATCTTCATTAATGGTCTGGATGGTGGGGCAGATTGCACCCCCAGCAAGATGCTGGTGACACCACACTGGGAGGAGCGTGGCTCAGGTGCCAGATGGTTGTGCTGCCGCCCAGAGGAACTTCAGCGGGCTGGAGAAACACAACGGCAGGAACCTTGTGCAGTTCAAGGAGGAGAAGCATCATGTCCTGCCCCTGGGGAGGAACACCCCCAGCACCAGGGGCACCCCTGTACACACTGGGGACCACCAGCTGGAAAGCAGCTTTGCAGGAAAGGAGCTGGGGGTCTTGGTGGACAGCAGGTTGAACGTGGGCCAGCAGCCAGCCCTTGCAGCGAAGGTGGTGAACGGTGTCCTGGGCTGCACTAAACAAGGTGTTGTCACCCGGCCGGAGCGGGGGATCCATCCCCTTCGCTCAGCGTGGGGAGGCCACACCAGGAGTGCTGTGCTCAGCTCTGGCATGGACTGGAGAGAATCCAGTGAAGGTGATGAAGGGATTGGAGTGTCTCTCCTGCGAGGAAAGACCAGGAGGGCTGGGATTGTTTAGCCCGGAGAAGAGAAGGCTCTGGGGGAAGCGAATCGGTGTGTATAGACACCTGAAGGGGGGCCGCACAGAGGACAGAGCCCAGCCCTTCTGAGCACTGCCCAGTGCCAGGACCAGGGGCCATGGGAACACAGGAGGGTCCCTCTGACCGTCAGGAAACACTTCTCACGGGGAGGGCGACCGAGGGCTGGCACGGGTGATGAAGGGATTGGAGTGTCTCTCCTGCAAGGAAAGACCGGGAGGGCTGGGACTGTTTAGCCCGGAGAAGAGAAGGCTGTGGGGGAAGCTAATCGGTGTGCATAGACACCTGAAGGGAGGCTGCACAGAGGACAGAGCCCAGCCCTTCTCAGCACTGCCCAGTGCCAGGACCAGGGGCCGTGGGAACACAGGAGGGTCCCTCTGGCCGTCAGGAAACACTTCTCACAGGGAGGGCGACCCAGGGCTGGCACAGGCTGCCCAGGGAGGCTGTGGAGCCTCCATCCTTGGAGATACCCAAAAGGCAGCTGGACATTGTCCTGGGCAACCGGCTGTGGGTTGCCCTGCTCGGGCAGGGGATGGGGACCTCCAAAGCTCCCTTCCCTTTGCAGTTAGTCTGTGATGCTGTGGGGTCTGCTGGCCCTTGTAGGCAATGTCTTGAGGCCTGGAGCTGGCAATGTCCAAGCTGTCTGGGGCAAATCCAAATGGCCCCGTACCCTCCTGAGATGGTCCCTGCCCCGGAGTCTTTCAGAGTGGAAAAAACACTGGGAAAGAAGAGCTGCTGCTCCTTGGTTTCCCCACTGCTCTCTCCTGGGCTGCTCCATCTGGGCAGAGCAGGAGAGGGAGGGCAGCTCTCCCCCCTCTCTCCTCCTGGTCCCGGGAAAAGGCGGATTTGCCGCGCTGCCTTCCGCTCTCGCTGCCGGAGCAGGAGGCACAGCCAAAGGTAGGAAGCCTGGCAAGGATTTTGGGCTCGTGGCAACGAGACAGGCTCCACGCCAGCCTGCGCTACAGCTCCCAGCAACGCAGCTCCACGGGGTGGGATGGAGCTGGGGAGGGTTGGGGGGGAATGAGCACTTCTCTCAAAGGGCTGAGAGAGAGAAAAGGGTCTGTGGGCAGTTTAAAAGCACAATTAAAGTTCTTACCCACCCACAGCAGCTCCGATTTCATTGTGATCAATCCCTCTGTCAGCAAAATGGCAATATTTGCTTTTTTTCCAGCAGTCGGTCTCACACCCCGAGGGCCGTGGGGGCTGCTCACCCCCCGGGCAGGCCGGGAGCCGCACACTGCGCTCCCCCCACACGTCAGCCACGGCTCTGTGGGCTCAGGACCGTGTCTTTCTTGGGGGGGGTGTCACGGTGGCCTGCGCCCAGCACATCCACACGAGTCCAGGCCTGCTGAAGCTGCCCCCTCTCCATCCTCGTGCCCCCTCCCCATTGATACCGTGGCTGCTGACCCCCCCACAGCCCTCTCCTCGCCCCCCGGAACTCCGGCCCCTCCGGCGCAGCCGCTGCCAGCCCCCAGCCATCTGCTCCCTCACACCCCACCGCGTCCTGCCCACCGCCCCGGCCCCCCGCAGCTTCGCCCCTCGCTGGATCCAGCTTCTGGAGCCCGAGGCTGCCCCGGCGCTGGGAGGACTGGGTCATGCTGGGAGAGCGGGACAGCAGCGTGTCACCCCGAGCCATGGCTCCAGGCGGCTGCGGGGTCACAGACCCCGTCCACGGTGACAAGGCAGCACGGATGGGTCCCAACGGCGGCTCTGTGACACGGGGAGGGCGGGGGGTGAGAAACCTTCCCCTGTCCCCCTCCCTCGGGGGAACCGGGACGAGAGCAGCCCCCGGAGGCGTTTGGGAGCCGTGGCTAACCCCGGTGCCGCCGTGGCCCACCTTGATGCGCTCCCCCTCGATCTCCACCGTCTTCTCGCGGAAATCCACCCCGATGGTGGCCTCGGTCTTGTCGGGGAAGGTGCCGCCGCAGAAGCGGAAGGTCAGGCAGGTCTTGCCCACGTTGGAGTCCCCGATCACGATGATCTTGAAGATGCGGGTCTGCACGTAG